ATGCCGGTGTTTTAACTCTGTTTTCAATGGTTTTTAAAGTGTTTTCAATGTTTTAGAGTTTCAAAAGACTTCACAGAAAACTTGGGCAAAAGATATGCAATTTGGAACAAATGAGCAATTTTGGATAAATGCAGACCGTCAGAAGTATGGCAAGCGGTAAAGACCTTCTCACTGTCTGATCACTCCCAAATTTTGAGACAACATAGAGGATCCAACTAGCTTTCTAATTCACTTGGTTTGGAGACAATCCAACGGTTAGATCTTCAGATACTCCCGATGCAAGAATGACAGAAAATGCAGTTCTGGAAGAGAGCCACGAGCCGGGACCGCGGCCAACACCTATTTTCCCGTGGGTAGAGCCACCACGACCGCGAAACTTGGTCGTTAACTTTCCAGTCGACTTAATTAAGGCCGAGATCAATTCCTTTCGTTATTTTTGAAGCCCTAAGTGTCCAGAACCACTCCAAAAGCTATAAATACCCTCTTTAGGTCATTCTAAAGGAGAAGACGACATAAGATAGAAAGAGAGAGAGATTTCGTGTAACGCTAGAGAGAATGAGGCGCCATCTTTGAAGAGGAGCCGCTGCAGAAGTGACCATCGCGCCTCCTTCTGCTTCTCCGTTCTTCGTTTCTTCCCTCTTTTCTTTAATTTCCTGCAACTTTCAATACTCTGTGATGATTGTTTACAATATGTTTGAGTAGTTACCCAGTTGGGTTTAAAGGGATTTTTCAAAGGGAATTTCGTGTGTCTTTGCTTATGAATCGATAGATTTAGGATTTATAATCTTCTAGATGTTCTTCGTTTGCCTTTAATTTTACTGTGTGATTCTCTGCTGGCCACTTAGAAGCCGATCTGACATGATATGTTGCGAAAGCTTTCATTGATTGTCTGAACTAGGGTGAAACGAGCAATGATTCTTTAGGAGTGGAAACCTACCTATAGTTGAGTTGTGAATGTTGATGAGTCTTGTTCTGCTATTGCATCTTCTCCCTTCCAGTATCAGAGTGGAAACCTACTGATCAAGGTTGCGAGAGATAGTTGTTTAGTGCTGCGAAATTATGCTATTCATACTTCCGTGCCTCGAGTTCTAAAACATACGTAGTTGATTACCTTTATCACTTGTTTAAAATCGACATAGCTTAGTCCATGAACCCCTGCGAAACCCCTTGATGCCCAACGTTTGTCTTTAATTGCTTACGACCTTCGATTTATTTGCTTTTCATTTGCTTATTACTTGCTTCCATTCTACTTTCATTCGCTTATTACTTGCTTTCATTTGCTTTCGTTTTTCAATTGGTTTTAATTGCTTTCTAGTTTTGATTTAGTGACAACCAAAACCCAAAACCAAAACCTAAATTATTTAGTTCTAGTCTGATTTAAGCATAGCCGTGAATTCGTACTGAAACAACTAAGTCTCTGTGGATCGATACCCTAAGTACTATAGAACACATCTGTGCACTTGCAGACATTTAGGGGTTATAAATTTAAAACCTGAAGCTTAGTAAAACGAAAACAACAACCCCGCTTTTGCTCGCAATCAGAAATACGTTCACAACTCCGGTTCAACGAGTTTTTTAAGTCGAGAAGACCAAATGGTAATATTATTTTCCCTTTAATACTTTTGTAAATTAGTTCTTTCCTTTAAAATTATTATTTATAAGTTTTTTTTTTTATAGACAAAGGCAGCAGGAGGAGAGCCTCCAAATCATCTAGACCTGGTTAAGGCGTGTCACACAAACAAGAACACCAAAGTAATTCAGGATCCTCTTGTAGCTGAAATTTGTTACAAGTTGGATGAAGAGATCAACCAAGAGTCACAAGGTGATTCTTCCTCTAGCGTCATTCTCCTGCGCGAGGAAATCAACCGCTGGATTCGCGAAGTAAGTTTATTATTTTTGTTTCTCCTTTATAATTAAATTATACTTTGTTTTATAATTTTGTTAATTAAAAACATTTGTTTGATTTTTGAAGGTACTTCCAATAAAAAAGAACGTCAACGTGTTCTCGAGAAAGTACTATACAAAGAGGAAACATTGGGCGTTAGCCAGGTTCCTGAAGATCTTATCGAGCAGAACTATGTGCTCCTGGAGAAAGTAGAGGCTTTCCAGGAAAAAGTAGAGGCTTTCCAGGAGAAAAAGTGGCGGCTTTGGATAAAGCTACGCAAAATACAGAGATGAAGCTAGGCACTACGCAAGAGGAGCTTGCGACCATGTTGAGCTGGATGAGGTCGAGGTTCCCTGATTTTCCGGGAGAAATACGGGGACAGGCGGAAGTACTGGAACATGAGGAAGTACGCGAGCAAAATTATAAATAATTTTTTTATTTTTGTAATTTGGATATTTAATATTTTGTATGAATTTTATTTTTATTTATAAATTTCAATTTCGAATTTAATTTAAATTTAGCATTTTAATTATTTACAATAATTGTTTTATTAAAATACAGGAGCGATCGGAAATTAGTCGAAAATTAAAAAAAAAGCATTTCGTTGGAAATCCGTCGGAAAATAGAACAACTCTTCGTTGGAAATCCGTCGGGAAATTGAACCCGTCGGGAATCCGTCAGAAAATGACAAAATTGGAAAGCTATCCGTCGGAAAACATATGGCCGACGGAAAACCGTCGGGAATACTATATCCCACAAAATTTGGTCGGAAACGTTACGCCTGTCAGAAATCCGCCGGCGTATAGATTTTCTCAAGAATACGTCGGAAATTTCTGACGAATATCCCACCGATTTTTTTTCTGACAAGGTGATTCCGACGACCATTTTTTGTCGGAAAGTCATCGGAAAGGCAATTTCCAGACCGATTTTTGACAGATATGGTCGTAAGAAATCACATGTTTTCTTGTATTGAACACAGACATTCACCTAGTAGTTATAATAAAGGGATGCAATCTTTAGTTTAAGGGCCAAGAAGAAGAATATATGGAAGATAGTTTTTGGGTTAGGTATCGTTATATCATGTTAAAGTTGGTCTAGGTTTGGGTTTGGTCCGGTTTTGTTACATTAATCAAGTATTCTGAAATCAGTGAGGAATTAAGGTTGAAAACTATTTTTTATATGGAAATAGATTAAGAACTAATACTGGATGTGATTTAGACAAAGACTCAAACTTCAGATGAACTGAGTGCTATAATATATTATGAATTTTTTCGAGGAGAAAATATATCTTCAAACTATTTTAAAGGAATTTGTATAAGGGGAAAATATATCTTCAAACTATTTTAAAGGCATTTGTATAATATGGTAATTGTAAATAAAATAAAATTTGTTGTCAACAACAGTTAAATTGAAACATATCAAAACAGATTGACATAACAAATTGCAAAAAAGGAACAAGAACAGTGGACAAAATAAACCTAGACATTTGAATATTCATTCGGATTCAAGTGGGTTTTATCGATTTTTTGGGTATTTTTTGTACTAAATGTCTTTAATTCATTCGTATATTTTTTTTATCGGGTTTAGATCAACTTTGGGTACTCAAATGTTTTCCCAAAAATCCAAAATATAATAAAATATGGTCTAATCTAAATGTATTGGTTAATTTTTTAGAAAAAAAAATTGTTTAATTTTGACAAAAAAACTAACTAAAATTTTTAGGATATTTCAGCTATTTTAGTTATTTCAGTCTCAATATAATTAATATATTCGGTTTATAAATGTTATTTTGATTGTTTTGATCATTATAATTCTAAATATAAAAAGGGTTTTCTGCAAATAAATCCTTCAAGTGGTTTTTTTTTTCAGGACAAACCACCACCTCAGAAAAATGCAGGTCAACCCCCACGTGAGAGTAAAACCGCTAAACGACATTGTCGTTAACCTCTGTCATATAAGAAACGAATATTAAAACGCTGTGCATTGGAAGGTGCATTGTGATATACTCATAATTTACATGTTTAGGATTGCATTTTTGGTCCAAATATTGAGTTTCATGCATGCATTTTAGATAGATTTGCATATTTTTGTCTTTGCTTTAGAGTTTTAGGATGTTGCATTAGGTCTTAGAGTGTTTTGCATGTTTTGGAGTGTTTACAGGTGATTTAGAACCTGTTGGGACTTGAAAAGATGAAGCTAGGAAGAGAAATGGTGAATGGAGCTTTAAAAATGGTGAAATCAGCCTTTTGGAGGTTCTCGGCGATAGCCTGTACCGCGGGAAGCTTTTTCTCGACGATTGTCATGTATTGCAGGTAGATTTCTCGGCCAAAACACGTACCGGTTGTTCAAGATTCTCGGCCAAAAATCTAGGGTGCGGATACATCTCTAAAATCACGTTACCGGAGGGTCTTGTCGGCCGATTCAGCCTACGGGATCTTCAGCAAATATCAAGATAATTGAGTTCAGATTTCAGAAAAGTTAGAATTGATGAATTTGGAGCAGCGAGCTGAGAGATACGATCACCGGAAGACAGACCTGTCTCGCATCCATTCCAAAGCAATCCGATACGTCTGAAAGATTACCTGTCCGGGGAGTTTTAACCACCGATTCAGCTTACAAGGTCTTCAGCGAAGTTGGAGATGATCAGGTCACGGATCCAGAAAAGGTAGAATCATTGGATTTGGAGTCGTGAGCTGAGAGTTAAGCTCACCGGAAGACACACATGTCTCGCTACAGTTTCAAGACCGATCCGATGAGACACAAAGATTGCGTGGGACGATGCCTTTCCAGTCTGATTCAGTTGCCGGGGTCTTCATGAATGTTCAAGTTCTTTGAGTGCTCTTTTCAGAACAGATGAGATCATCCAGTTTGGAGTTATTTGCTGAAATATACCGTCTCCGGAGTAAACACTAGTCCAAGAACTTCTCTTTGATCGTTTCAATGCACTGCAGAGATGAGCTATCCGGGGAACCTTCCACTCCCCAAGCGCTGATGGTTTCTTCTCCAAAGTTGGGGCTAAGTGAGTTATCTGTATACTGGAGCTAGAAAATCGGGATTCTGAACAGTGGTCAGGAAGTTGTGATGGTTTATGTATGGTGAGTTCCTTGACACCGGGATGAACACCGGGAAGATTGAGCTCGGTGTTGGACTTACCTTGAGAGTTCTGTGCTTAGAGATCAACACCGAATCCCACACCGACCAAAGGTACCTCAATGTATTTTTTGCTCGTTCAACACTTTAGCAACACCGGGCACAACATGGAGGAAAAGCTGCCCGGTGCATTTCCACTCGTTCCAGCCTATCGAGCAACATCGACTCCAGCCTCGACCATTCAAGCCTCGGTGTAGATTCCACTTGTCCCATCCTCTGCACAACACCGGGCACAGCATCGACCTAAGGCTGCCCGGTGCATTTCCACCCATTCCAGCTAAAACTCCAACACCGGCCACAACATTGACCAGAAGCAAGCCGATGCCAGCTTCATTGTCAAACCCATACTTTCAACACCGGCCATGACATCAAATTTACAGGCCCCGGTGCTAGCATCCACATCCAAGACAGGCTTTACAACACATCCACATCGAGCACAACATCGGGCAAGTGAACCTTGGTGTAGATGTGTTGACGTTTTTAAGTGTTTTCTCTCCTGGTCAACACCCGGTTTGTCCCGGGTTGACCAGAGACTTAGGGAATGACTATAAATACTTTTTTAGGGTTTTACCATAGGGACAAGCTTTATTCTCCTAATTTCTTTTCGTCTTTTGTGAAAGACTCATTTGAAGAGAAATATCCCTTTTTGTGAGTGTGAATCAAGAGAAATCAAAGACCTTTTGTGTGATTAAAGCTGTTTTCTTTCTCATCTATCATCTCTATCTTCATTCCATCCATTAATCATGCTAATCTACTCTACTTGCAAAGGTTTAAGAGAGATTAGTATGATTAGTGAGTAGTCACCTTAATGAGGTTCTAGATGTGTAGGTTAGGGTGCTAAAGTGCTAGTTTAGGAGTGCTTAGGGCTAGATTCATGATTTGATCTCTCTAAAAAGCTGTTCTCTAAGCTAGATCCTTGCACATCACTTGTGATTTAGAATCTGGGAATTTCATGCACCAAAAGTGTTTGATGAAATTTCTGAAAGAGCTGTATTAGAGGTTTATGCATTAGCTGCATGATGATTTCTTGTTATTTGCATAAATGATGATTGGGTATGTGAAATAACTTGATTTATGTCTTGATGCTTGGGAAAGATTAAGGCTTGATTAGAGTTCTAAATAATTTGAATCATGTTTCATCATTGTCATTAGCATTTCTAGTTAAGCACCAAAGCACCCTAGCCAACTATCATGTCTAGAGTCTCATCCTTCCATCATTCCATATTCCTAGTTTAATTGCTTGCTTGTTTAGGTTACTTAATCACTTGTTCTTGTTTTAGTTTTAGTCTTGTCTTAAGCATTAGTCACCAACAATCTCCACCATTTGCTTGAATTAAGAAACTGTCTTATATTCTAGTGTCTACCACACATTGGATTGATAAACCCATTATGCGCCGTTGCCAAAGTGTGCTAGCATTAGTCTTATATACTTTCTTGAGATCAAGTGCTTTCTTTTTGTTTACTGATTACTTTGTAAGTTCTGTCTTTTTTTTCAGGTGTATGAACACCAGATCAAGGTCTAGAAGTTGTGGTCCACCATTTCCCCTGAATGACAACATCAATCTGTTAGTGCCAAGAAGAAGAAGAGATAGACGTGCAAGGGAAACTGATAGAGCAGCTGATATGGAACAACAGAGAGAGCACCACGTGGTTGACATTGAGCACCATGTTCAAGAGGAGCAACAGGCTCAACATGTTAATGGAGCTCAAAGGAATCAGGCTCAAGCTGAGAGAAATGAGCAACAAGCCTATGTCAATATAAACATGGCACAAAGGAATGAGAGGCAGGATCAGCAGAATCAACAGCAGGCTAATAGAAATGAGCAACAGGCTCAATTCATTCCTCAGCATCAAGCTAAAAGGAGACAAGATATTCCACCAGTGTTTGTTGGGGAAAATGATAGAACCAATGCACACCAGCATAGAGCAGGAATCCAAGCACCACCACTTCAGAATAATAATTTTGAGGTGAAGGCTTCCTTGCTCAACATGGTTCACAACTCCAAATTTCATGGTTTGCCAATGGAGGATCCTTTGGAGCACTTGGATCAGTTTGACAGGGTTTGTGACCTCACCAAAATCAATGGTGTCTCAGAAGACAGCTTCAAGCTCAGGTTATTCCTACCTAGAGGTTCCATTCAGCTAAGGAGATAAGGCACACCAATGGGAAAAGAACCTACCTAGAGGTTCCATATAGACTTGGGAGCAGTGCAAACTTGCATATTTATCAAGTTCTTCTCTACTTCTAGGACAGCTAAACTGAGAAACCAGATATCAAGCTTCAAGCAACATAACAATGAAAGCTTTGGGGAAGCTTGGGAGAGGTTTAGAAGCTACACCAATCAATGTCCACACCATGCTTATTCTGATGCTTCTCTCCTTTCTACACTGTATAGAGGAGCTTTACCGCAGATAAGGAATCAACTAGACACAGCCTCCAATGGTAATTTCTTGGCAAAAGAGATTACATCTGCTATGGAACTTGTGGAGAATTTGGCCATGTCTAATGACACATATGGTGAGGATTATGATAGGACAAACAGATCAGAGGCTTCAGGCTCAGATCAAAGGCTTACTAGAGAGGTTAAAGAGCTGAGGAGTGAACTAGAAAAGCTGAAATTGGTTTCTCAAAAACCAATTCACTATGTTGCTGAGTTTAATGATTCTCCAAGCTTTGAGAACATCAATGAAGATGGCCTAACAGAGGAAAAGATCAACTATATTGGGAATCAACAGAGGTATCAGAGGTTCAACAACTATGGAGCCAACCAAAACCTCTCATACCGCAACCCCAATGTAGCAAGTCCTCAGGATCATGTGTACCATCCTCAGCAAAACCAACAATGCTATGCTACTAAGACTCAGTTTCAGAGTTCTTTCCAACCTAAGCCACAATTCAGTCAGCCTCAACAGCAATATACTCAGCCACAGCATCAGATTCAGGGTACAAACTTCAGTTCTCAACATCAACAGCTCAAGGCGCCTCCAGGTTTCAGTGAGCAGCCGATGGGTTAGCAGCAGTTCAGTCATCAGCCGCCGGTTCAGAGTCAACAGATGGGACCAGATATGTGTGGTATACTACAGCAGTTGCTACAGGGTCAACAAAGAGCTGAGAGTCAGTATGCTTCCATACAGCAAGAGATAAGGGAGCTGAAACAGAATCAGGCCTCCACTTCAAGAAGCCAAGGTGTTCTACCTGGTAAGCCTGAACCAAACCCAAAAGAGTATGCTAAAGCCATTACATTGAGAAGTGGCAAAGAGCTACCAGGTTGAGAACATAACAATGTGATCATTGAGGAAAATGATCAAATTGGTGGGGAGGCAGCCCCAAGGGATGATCAAGAAGCTGAAAGAGCAATGAAAGGGAAGGCCAAAGAGGTGGAAAAGACACCAGAACCAGAGAAAGTCTATGTTCCAACACCTCCCTATCAACCCAACTACCATTTCCAGGCAGGGTTAAGAAGGAGCTTGTAGATAAGGCAAGAGCTGTCTTTGAGAAGACTCTTAATGAGACACCACTCACAATGCCTCTCATTGAAGCATTTCTGATGATGCCTAAGGTTGGAAAGTTTTTAAAGGATGCTATCTTGAACAAGACTAAAGAGCTTCAAGGTATGGTGGTGCTTAGCCATGAGTGTAGTGCCATCATTCAGAGAAAGTTAGTCCCAAGAAAGCTGTCTGATCCAGGGAACTTCAATCTCCCTTGTGCTTTAGGACCATTGATGTTTGCTGGATGTCTTTATGACTTGGGAGCATCTGTCAGCTTAATGACAGGCGATTTCAGAAATGTGTCTGCACCCGGAAATTTTGGCCGAGAGATTCATTAAGCCGGTACGCGTTTTGGCCGAGGAATCCACCCGCGGTACACGAGAATGGCCGAGAAAATCTTCCTGCGGTACGCGAGAATGGCCGAGAACATCCAAAGACCCATTTTCACCATCTTTCAAGCCCTAATCACCATTTCTCCTCCTGGATTCACCTTTTCAACTCCAAACAGCTCCAAATGCACCTGATAAACACTCCAAACATGCAAAGACTCATTGGGACCTAATGCAACTCCTAAGTCCTAAAACAACCCCTAAGGACCTAAAATGCATGAAATAAGATATGATTTGGAATGAAATATACAACCTAAATGATGCAAATTATGAACATATCAACTCCCCCACACCTGTCCTTTGCTTGTCCTCAAGCAAAAAGAGCAAATGAGAGGAAGAGGTTGGATGCATTGGGAGTTCATATTCCTTAATGAGAGAAGTGATCACAATGAGAATTCAGGTTCATGCTCAATCATGCAATGCAAAGCCATACTCAGATATATATCAACTCAATAAAGAATCTCTACAAGTTCTTCTCTCTCTCAACTCTTTCACATTCATTAAGCTTTTATCAGGTGAATCTAATGATGCAATGTTTAAACAAGCTGGCTTGGCTAGGGAGAGGCTATGAGATTAAAATGATCTCATTAGTGTTCAAGCGGGTCTAATGCAGCAAAGGGATCTCTCTATGAATGATCAAACTTTGGCAGAATGCTAAAGGTAAAAAGCAACCTATGCATACAAGGGCAAAGACTCATCACACCCCACCCTCTACTCAAAGCTTTCTCACTTGCTCACTCTCTCAAGATCCTCACTTTTCACACTTATTTTCCTCTCACTAAGGGACTTACTTTTCACTTTCACTCTCAAGTCTTGGAGTTCAAACTTTACACAACTCTTTTTCTTTTGCAATCTCTAGCCTCTTTTTTCTTTCTTTTCAAAACATTTGAGCTCTTTGGCTTCTTTTCTTTTCCTTTTACTTAGAGGTTAGACTCTTTCTTTTCAACACACCAGAGCTCACTTTCTTTAACTCAAAACTCACCAACAAGTCTTTTCCCCCACACTTATTCCTCGCCAAAACTCTCAGTTCCTTGATGTTGGAACACAGCACTCAATGAGACCTGCCCTTGTCGCTCTAAACCTAACACTTTCTGCTAAGTTTGATCCAAGGTGGCCTTTCAATTCACACACAAACATTGGCTTGAAAGAAGGATGGGTTCAAGGTGAGGGAACTTATCCATGATGCGGATTCAGCTACTTGAGCTAAGGAAAAAGGGTGGTAAAAACAATGGTTCTAGCTCAAGTATGTATATCGGTATCCACAAGCTTTTTCAAACAATGCATCACAAGATATTTTCAAGTCAAGTTCAAGGTTCCCACTTAATTAGAGTTGAGTTCAATTCAAACTTGCTTCTCAGATTCAGATCGTTTCAGACTTTGCAACCATAGAAAAAGATTCACATGCATATTCAGTTCAAGTTCTCAAAGTGATGTACTCTCTAGAAAACCTATCATTACTCCGTACAAGATGCAACCTACATGAATTGCAATCTAGACTCAATCCTAAAAATGAGAATGCAACTACATGATCATTTTTTTTTTGTGAATTTTTTTTTGATTTTTCCATTTTTTTGGTTTTTATATGCACTTATATGAGACTACATGAATATGCAACTAGAATGTGACTCAAGACTCAAAGTATAAAATAAGAACAGAGAAAACATGGTTAGTAAAAGATGAAACTCCTCCCCCACACTTAAATAACACAGTCCCTTGTGTTATAAAAGCATGAGAAAGGAGTTAAAGCAAAGCAAACAAGAAAAATGCAAAAGAGAAAAGAAAAATCTACATGCATATGTACAAGGTGTGGAGTGTTACCTAGGAGCTATGGAAGTCTGACCCCAATGAGTAAGAGGGGTTTGAAGTGTGACCGGATGGTGTCTCCCAAGAGTGATGGCTTGCCTCATCAGAATCGTCGTCAAGATCCACCCATGTTGTGCCATATGTGACCAGGGCTCTCATTGTGATCACTTCTCTCAAAAAGAAAATGTGAACTCCCATTGCATACAACCTCTTTCTCTCATTTGCTCTTTTTGCTTGAGGACAAGCAAAGGACAAGTGTGGGGGAGTTGATATGTTCATAATTTGCATCATTTAGGTTGCATAAATCATTCCAAATCATGTTTTATTTCATGCATTTTAGGTCCTTAGGGTTTGTTTTAGGACTTAGGAGAATGCATTAGGTCCCAATGAGTCTTTGCATGTTTTGAGTGTCTATCAGGTGAATATGGAGCTGAAAAGACGAATCCAGGAGGTGGAATGGTGAGCAAAGCTTGAAAAAGTGGAAAACTTGGGTTTATGGAGGTTATCGGCCATTCTCGCTGGCCAGGAAGGTTTTGTCGACCATTTTCACGTACCGCGGGTGAACTTTGTCGACCAAAACACGTACCGCGAGTGAAGTGTATTGGCCAAAATCTCCGGGTGCAAACATGTCTCAGAAATCGCCTGTCCGGGGAGCCTTCCGGTCCGATTCAGACGGCGGGTGCTTCATAGAAGTTGGAGAGCATTGCATCACGGTCTCTTAGCAAGTGGAATCGTGGAATTCGGACGCGTGAGCAGAGAGATAAGCTTGTCGGAAGGAACCCCAGTCTCGCAGGTATTCCGGACCGAGCAGATCAGTCCTAAAGAATGCGAAGGACGGTGCACTTCCAGGCCGATTTAGTTTCCGGGTCCTTCATGAGAACCAGAGACATTTGAGTCTTCTTTCCAGAACGTCCAAGAGCATTCAATTCGGATCTATGAGCAGAAAGATACGGTCTCCGGAATGGACACATGTCTAGACGCCTCTCTCTGGTCGTGTACACGCACTGCAAAGATGTGCCCTCCAGGAAGCCTTACACTTCCCAAGCACCGAAGCTTCCTTCACAAAAGTTGGAGATAAATGAGTCCTCTGTCTTCTGCAACTAAAATCATTCAATTCGGACAAGCCTCATAGGAGTTACACTCTCCGGAATGCGAAGTGGTCTAAGCTGCTCTGGATGCTGCGAGACGGTCTTGCGACTTGGTTAGCCCGCAGGCCTGAAGATGAACGCCTGAATGCTGATGCTGCGAGTTGATATGTGCGGGTAAACTATCACTGGAAGAGGTCTGAAGCTCAAGAGCAAGAGAAATGCTAAGTCCACAATCCTGCGACTTAGGCATGCGAGTTAGCCGCGCCTGGAACTATGCCGCACGATCACTCGCAAATCACTCCGACTTGAGCCTGCGACCTAGTTGCAATAGAGACTAACCCGCACAGTTTGTACATTCCCCAGAAACCGCCTTAGCCCTGCGAGTTGGAGAGGAAGGAGACCAAGCCGCAGCAACACTCGCAAAACACTCCTACTTAGGCGTGCAGCTAAGGCAAGGCGATTGAGGCTTCACAAGACAAGTCTTCATCTGCTGCGACTTAGGTGTGCGACCTGGGACATACTGGACTGACCCGCAGTAATTCTCACTTTATCCACTAAAGCCGGGTCAGGACCCGGTTTGTTCCGGGCTGACCCGGTTCGTTTTTAAGAAAGTATAAATACTTTTTAGGGTTTTTTGGGGAGAGTACTAAGTTTTATTCCCTTTGTCTCTTGCCTCTTTGGTGAAAAAAGACTCCATTAAGAAGAGAAATATCTATATTTGAGTGTTTAATCAAGAGAGTTTAAGGAGATCTGGGTGTTTAAAGCTGTTTTCTTTTGAATCTATCATCTCCATCTCCATTTCTCATCATTAATCATGCTAATCTTCTCAACTTGCAAAGGTTTAAGAGAGATTAGTATGACTAGTGAGTAGTCACCTTAATGAGGTTCTAGATATGTAGGTTAGGGTGCTAAAGTGTTAGATTAGGAGTGCTTAGGGCTAGATTCATTGATTCATTTCTCTAAACAACTGTTCTCTATGCTAGATCCTTGATAATCGCTTGAGATCTAGATTCTGGGAATTTCATGCACCAAAAGTGTTTGATGAAATTCCTGAAAGAGTTGTATTAGAGGTTTAAACATTTTTCTGCATGATGATGTATTGTTATTTGCTTGAATGATCATTAAGAGCTGTTTGTTAATGCATATTGATTCATGTTTCACAAATGGGAATTTGGTTTGAAAATGGATTAGTATAGGGGTTAATACCTTCATGAGAGGATTAACCTAGATTAGAGTTCTTAATCAC